CTGCTGTCTTATTTGGCAAAGTGTTCGGACGTTAAAAGCTCTATGTATAGTTAAGAGCGTGGTTTCAGGAGACCAGGAATAGCGTTCCGCGTACTCGAATCGTTTGCCCTAGCGGTGCGAGATGATAAAGAGACGTGAGAAGGGTAAGTCATCGAGATAAGAGAGGTATTAGGAGGTGTAGGAAGGATTTGAATGTGACCAACTTGGTCTCGTGTGCTGTTACGGGTATGAGGGCTGATGTCACTTCCCGGCTGCCCACACCGAGGAAGGGTATTTCTTGAGGAACCTGAAAAGGAAATTGGATTAGTGTTGGTCTTGACGATCTGGGAGCGTGACCGCGGAGCCCAAGGGACAACTGCTTGAGTCCGGTCGCGCACGGCCTTTTCGTGGAAGGTTTTTAACGTGTTAGCTCCGTTCTTCAAAGGGCCTTAGCGCTGGGGACGGAAATCCGTGAGGATCGACCTTTTCTAACCTCTTCCTTCCTTGTGAGAAGGCAGCATCGCTGTAGATGCTGGTTGTCCGAGGGAAACACCTTACTGCTGTTACTCCCCTCTACAGTCAGCAGTACGATTTCGCCCTCAAACCTTGAGTTGCTGCTTTTAGTCTTACCGTTCTCCAATCGACCTGCCTGGCATGGTAGAACCTACTGTAACATATGTTCAAGTCAATATAGCTCGGTCGGGTCGTCACGATAGGCAAGCCTGACCACCTCGTCAAGGTACCAGCTACAGTCGGGATGGAATACTGTAACTAATGCATTAGGAATAAGTTAAGAACGACAAATCGTATAACAATAGTCGACAGGCTAAATGAAATCTTATGATAAAAGGAATACGAATATATACACAATTCAGTTTCGGTTTGAGCACCCAGTTAGTAAAATAGCCTATACACAAATCAAGTGACTTGTGTGGCCCGTATGTATTCAGTGCCCCTTTGTACTAATACTTATGTGTCAAAATAAATAAATAAAGTCCAGTTGCTTAATAATTATCCAATAAGAATATACTTAATAACAGTCTATAAACAATCGCTAACCTTGACCACTCATTTATTCTTCATTTGGATATAATACAATGTAAGGAAGTCGATAGTTTACTGTACACTTCAAAAGCTATAGATAATTACTTAGTTTCTTTGAAAACAGATAAATGTCACTTTGGATGTAATTGAAAATGAGAGAACTGAGACCATAATTTATGGACGACATTTGAGCGACGCTAAACTGACTTTGAGAGTAGACACCTACTTCCGTCTGTTAATCCCAAGGGAGCATAGGTCGCCGACCAGCATTCCCCAACCCAATCTGTCCTAGGCCTTCATTTCCAGTTCTATCTAACTGTTGTTCATTCTTCTCATGTCTATCTCCATTTCTCGACGTAATGTGTTCTCTGGTCGTCCTCTTCTCCTTTGGCCTTGATGATTCCATATGAGGGCTTGTCTTGTGACACAATTGGGCGCTTTCCTCAATATGTGCAACGTTATTGCCAATCCCAAAACTAAGTTGACAGAACGAGATTTGAATATGTGATAAACTAAAACTCCAAGTATGTGAGTGGAAGAGTGACAATCCCAATTAGCGACAATTCGTTAGATGATTATGTGATACGTTAGTACATTCATTTCACTTAAACAAGTGAATCATATTTACACCTGATGAAGATATGTGATGATATTATTATAAGCAAGATACTGTTGGAAACCTAAAGGAAATTCAATACAACACAAAAAATGTAGTGATTTTATGTGCTATTACGTGGTAATTAACTGATGTATATGGACACATTTATTCATCAAAGAGAGAACCAACCACATAGACATTTCTTCTTTGTGAGAAGTTTTTCATGCTTCCAGTAAAGTTCAATAGAAAGCACAATGATGTGATTTATTCATGGGATCCAGTGCATTTACCACTTATAAACTATCGTGTTTTCGGTGATGAAAAGAAGAACTCTGTTTTGGAAAAGTTGGAAGGTACTGATGCTTTGATATTGTAGCGGTAAATAAATCCCCAAAATAAATAGGTCTGTAAGTTTTCGACATTGGAAGCTGACAACTTTAGTTTTAGTGGACTCACCTAGGTTAAGGCGCTCGGTCATGCACCCGTAACAGATCATCGCTCTATTTAAAAGGATAGCCGTATTGTTTCGGCAGCGCCCCAGGGGTATCGCAACACTTTTTTGGGCTACTTTTTCATTTCTGCTTTGTGCACAACCAAAATTCGAAATTAATTATGAATAAATTTAAAAGTCCATTTTCCGTTTTCATTATTAGGTGAAAAAGGGTTTTTCTGTTTTGCGTTACATGGTATCGCGAAGTCCTTGAAAATTCATTAATCAGGTGCTGCTATAATAGTTTTTGTGTTTGCATTGCAGACTAGCACTTATTTTTACTTAGATATACACTGATGGTAGACAAATCTTTTATTTTTATATGAAATAGCATGATTAAGGCATATATCGTCATTGTTGTCAAGGCTACCAAAATGCGTTACAACTAACGATACCATGGTAAGATTTATCGTTTTTCCCGTCTTTATCACAATTTCGGCTGATTTTCACTGTTTTGTCCGACTTTCATGGCAGAAATAGGTTGATAGTGAAAACATTAGGTGTCCCGAGTGTTGTAAATATTATGTATATGCTATAGATGACAATAACACATAGCTAGGTGTTAATATCACCTTCTACAGTTAGATATATTAGCCACTAGATGATTATATTGCAGGAAATAAATCATAATCATGCGGGAGAGGTATAATTATGTGGAGATTTTACCAGAGACCAAGCTAAGATAGCATTACTACCTCTTGTGTAGATCTACACAAGTATTTGGCTGTACCAAAGCATGTCATTGAGATATGGTCGTGACTTTTTTTCTTTTTTTAATTCAGAACTCACGGGACGATTACCTCAATTCTCAATAGCCGTGCAATTGTTTTGATGTTCTACCTACATTTCAATAAACATTATTTTTCAAACAGCTTACTTTCTTACTTACGTGGGAAACTGTAGAAGCGTTGATAATGTGTGTTTGAGTGTCAGTGAACTTTTGATTAAATGCACATTCCTTATAAATAATACATCACTTGTTCCTTCTTTGCAGATAATTTAAAATAACAATGAATTAGCAATTGCATTCGATATGCAAAACAATCGATGCTTAAGCTTCTGCTCTAGTGTTGTACAATAATACGCTTTACCTTTTAAATAAAATTTTTCAAAAATATGCCGGCTTTCCACTGCATTGCAGATTTATTTCGGTCTGTTGTTGAAAATAAAGGCGAACATAGGAGACCTTTGGGGTTATGTCAATAGATGGAAAATAGGGAGTTCTGTGTGTAGTTAGGCGAAACGTAGACAATCCAGCGGACATTTAGGCGAAAAGTGAGTAATTTATCGACGAATAAGGGGGGGGAAATCCGCATTATTTCCCCCGGACAGGCGACATTCTGATGCGTAACGGGAACAATTCCTGAGAAATAGAAGTTATTTCTTAATGGACCATTTGTGCTAGATTCAAACTTTAATAAACGTTTTCATTTATAACGCACCAGTCTTTTAATTACGGCGATTCGTATCTATCGTGACAGGTCGGAATTCCAACTACTAGTATGGTAAACCATGTTCAAGGTAGCAGTATTTGGTAAACGGTATGTATGACTAATCGCGTGTGCGCCAAACTGGTAATTATTACACAAGAACGCGAAACAACACCCCTGTCTCACAGCCACATAAGACTGCACAGTACACTCCCTGCCGTTACGCTATAAGAATAAGTCAATGGCCATATAAATGAATTTATGTAAAAGTAAAAAGATAACAATATTAGAACTTCTTGTTATCAAGAGGCATAGCTATGGTCTGTATTAACAATGGATTCTGACGTTGTAGCTTTGTCATTAGCACCGATTGAACTCATCACTTGTGCGCATATGTCTTCCGATGCTTCGAGGCATGAACGGATGAGTTTACTTGCCAAAGGTTCACTAAGAGCATGGATTGAGTGGTAGTTGCTGGTGAACTTCTCTAGCAGATCATCACTCCCTGCAGAGATTGAGATGTTGTCCAGCGCACGAAGAACCAGGTCTATTATGTATTTTCTTGTCCACTTGTTGCTATGTCGAAATAAGTCTACAAAACTTATAGAGATAAAGGAACACACATACCTTTAGAATGTGTATACGAAATATGACCACAGGGGAGCACGTGGTCATTGAAACGCACTATTTCGACCTGAAGGATAAATTCATTTGAAGTAAAGCATACGTAGATGACCGACGTCGTCTCCTTTGCCTAGGATGTGTTGGCGAGTTAGAAGTTGTAAGCTCTTCAGAAGAATGACTATTACTATAATCATCTACATCCTGAAAGCGGGCATCTGACTCTGTCGAACTGCGTTTACGTCCATATGTACAGACATAACTCACGAAAAAGTACTTTGGAGTTGGATCATCACTGTTCTCTTTGTATACTGACATAACGTACTTAGTATGCGTATACTAACAAAATAATTACTAACCACGGAAGTCATATTACCTATATCATGCATCATCACGATGGCATCGTCTTCGTTACTTGAAGAATAAACATTACTAGACATAGTGTGGCTGAACTCAATTCAAATCTAAAAATGTCTTGATTTGACCGCTTCTGAAAATTTTCACGAATTGTCGATGTGACGCACCAATCATTTTGCGACAGTTTGACCTTCAAGTGCTGGCAACCCCCAACAGTGGACGATACCCTAGGAGCGTTGCCTATTGTTTCTCGTTGTGTTAATAAACTGTTTTGATCGTAAATTACGCATCAAAACTACTGTTTACACTTTAATTGCATCTACCCCAGTCAAAGTGATATTGTATTGAGTGTTTCGATTTTGCTTTTGTGTATTTATTGCATCGAAGCATACTTGGTCGACTTTTACTTGATTTATTTAGTTAAGGTTTGAAAATCCCTTTACATATCCTGTTTTTGTCACCGTTCTAGTTGATTTTCAAGATGGCTAGGTCTGCTCATAAATGTGGACAACCATACTGCTTATTTCCCGTGGATGAAGGGATGCAATGTGATGAGTGTAATAAGTGGTTCCATAAGATGTGCACCCGATTAAGCCCCATTGCATATAAAAGGTGCTCAAAGCTCAACTCTCATTGGCTTTGTAGTTTCTGTTGCTCGAGCAAAACATTGCTTATCCAGGAAGCAATTTGTCTCCTGGTGCTGGCTAATAAGAAGGTTGGTGTGGGCTATACTGACAACATTGGTACTGATGGCGAAGATTGCGTTAGTGTCGTGAGTGCTGTCACGGCGCAAGCCAGACATCTAGCTGTGCAACCCGCTATTAAACCGTCTACCCCGAAACAATCAATGAGTGACACCTCATTAGAAATTGGTGGCCATGTTGCTACAGCAGTAACCGGTGACCCAGATAAAACAATTACTGTCCCGAGTGGATCTAATGTGGATGCTACGACTGATGGAATATGGATGACACGGAAACGCAGAAGATTAGGAAAGACAGCTAAAACTAATGACCGTTTACATGATAAGTCCTTGGTGGACTCTCAGACCACTTCCTCTAACATTGTTGTGAGTCACTCGCTCGACTCCCAGGACTCTGTTACAATAAAAACTAATCGTAAGATACCAGTCAAAATACCTGCATATTACAAAAGTAGTACGACTTGGTAAATGGGTTGGAGGCGATACTCAACCAAGAAGAATCCTGAAGCTGGTTCTCGGAAGTTTTAAAGAAAGAGACATATTATTGAAAAGCGCACTAAAAACTCGTGCCTCAAATATCCGTATTCGACCCGATTGGCCGCTTGAGCATCGAACCAAGTGGAAGAATGCTCTTACGGAGTTGAGGACTCGCAAATTAAATAGCGAAAATAACCTTACCATTAAGTGTTTTCGGGTAGTCAGGTCTTGGAAACCAATGCTTCCTAGGCCTGTATGAGTAGAACGATTGATTTCCAAAACACCTTAAGTGTGTGCTACACGAACGCTCGTAGTCTTAGAAATAAAACTTCCGAGCTGTCTGATGGTGGAAGAATTATGTCCCGATATAATCGTTGTTACAGAAACTTGGTTCACCGTTGATATAGACTGTTCTCCTTTCGTGGCTAGTTATATCTGTATCAAAAGTGATAGTTTCAAGTCGCAAAGGGGGAGGCATAATATTATACGTGAGGGATCACTTTCGTATACAATCAACCATATCGGAGGCTCATATCAGTGGCACATGTGAGGTTGCATGTTGTAAGATTAAATATAGAAATGGGTTAGTGACTATGGGGGGAATATACTGTAGTCCGTCTTGTCTTACTGACGACTTTATCCCAAGACGCATCTGTTCTTGGAGTATGGCAGAATGTCTCATCATTGGGGACTTCAACGCACCGCATATCAACTGGATAGGGCTTACAGCTCCAGGTAGTGGTTTCGATAGTGACCTTTTATCTACCGTTATTCAGTGTGCACTTGTACAATGTATCACAAAACCGACACATTGATTTGCAATATGATCCGTCACTGCTGGACCTCGCCCTCACCCACCACTGTGAGGATGTCTTTGATATCCAGCACCTTCCCCCACTAGTGAACAGTGATCCCGTTGTAATTCACTTCAAGTTTAGGACACATAGTATATGATTTGTATCTATTCCACCCCGTCCCAATATCTGGGGAGCTAATATTCCGGAAATCAGAAACTGTGCTATCTCGATTGATTGGTCGGTCGACGCGGATGGATTGATCGAAGATGAATGGAATAAGTTTATGGCTACATTCGAGTCCGTAACGTCGCCGTTTATCCCATGGTCAGCACGTAAGCTATCACATTCACCTCCATGGACCAATAAGGAAACCCGGAAGCTGTTAAAGCGTAGGAAACATTTCTGGGACTTATTCTTGTTGACAGGTCATGCATCATTTAAGCGTGAGTACCAAGAATTCCGTAATATCTGTAAGAAAACCATAGCCAAGTCCCTTACTACTTACGCACGACAGTTAGTATATGATAGCCGTACTTGTCCGAAACGATTGTTTTCGTATGTTAAACGGCGAATGAAACGTAGTGATGGTATTCCCCCGTTACTGTTACACGAAAATTCAGAATTACTAGCTGAATCAGATCGAGCAAAAGCTGAGACTTTTTCAGACTATTTTAGCAAAGTCTTCTCTACGTTTATTGTAACAAATACTTGTCCCACTCACACCGAAATACCAACCATTGATTCTGTACAGGTGACTGAGGAAACTATCCTTCCGTTGATAACTAACCTCAAACCTGGTAAGATACCGGGCCCTGACGGGTTACATCCACGGTTGCTGTCATCTCTTGCGGACATTATTTCAAAACCGCTCGCGACACTCTTCAACATGTCCCTTTCACTCGCTCAACTCCCTAAAGATTGGAACGACGCTATAGTTAGTCCTATATCTAAGGACGGTCAGCGAAAGGTAGTATCTAACTACCGGCCTGTCAGTCTAACTAGCATAGTCGTTAAGTTACTTGAAAAGATAATTCGGGTTAGGTTGCTGAGCCACATAGATTTACACAATCTGTTAGCTCCTGAGCAACACGGATTTCGTAACAAGCGTTCATGCTTGACTAACTTGCTTATTGCGAGGGAGGATTGGACAGCAGCCCTAGATAACGGTCTGTCGGTTGATGTGATATTCATAGGTTTTGGCAAAGCATTTGACAAGGTTTCACACGTAGGTCTTATGCAGAAGCTCACGAGCTTCGGAATAATAGGTACTGTACATGAGTGGACAGGAAATTTCTTATGTGACCGCAGACAGAGAATGAGGGTCAGCGGAACACTATCCGATTGGAAACCGGTTAAAAGTGGTGTACCCCAAAGCACCATCTTAGGCCCTCTGCTCTTCCTTCTCTACGTTAATGAGTTACCGCTTTTACTTTGGTCGTCGACATTATTGTTTGCGGATGATGTAAAAATCTGGAGAACAATAAAAAGTGCGGCTGATCATCTGGATCTTCAAGCTGACAGACGATTTAGTTAGATGGGCTCGAGAGTGGGGCTTAGAAAGCAATGCTAGGAAGAGTGTGCTAATGCACATCGGTCACGGTAATAATTACCCTTACACTATTGAGGGTAAACCTTTTCCATGCGTTCAAGAGCATAAAGACTTAGGAGTAGTATTAAGTCATGATTTAAAAACAACTACGCATTGCAAAGCAGCCGCTGTCAAACGTTTTCGTGCGTTATGGTCAATTCGCCGAGCGTTCAAAACTTTTGACGAGGAAACGTTTCGAATTTTATATCCCATATATGTTAGACCACATTTAGAGTACTGTATCCAGGCAGCTAGCCCGTATCTGGTAAAGGATACTAACTCCCTTGAGCGTGTCCAGCGTGTTGGAACGAAATTAGTGAAGGGTCTTTCTAGACTCCCTTACGATGAGCGTTTAAAACACCTAAATCTTTTCCCCTTGTCGTATCGTTATGCGAAACTTACGGTTATGTCCGTGCCAAAGCCTGTCATCCAGATGTCCTTGTGACTTGTTTTTTTGGACATTTCAGAATTCACAGGAACACTGTTTTAATTCTCAATAGACGAACATACGTGGCTGAAGGCAAACGGTCGTTCAATTTCTTTTTGTTATACTGAATTTTTAATAGACATTTTTCGGTGGCACAGCTTATCTTTTTACTAGCATAGGAAGCTATTGAAGTGTTGAGAAAGTGTGTTTGATTGTTAGTGAACTAGTGATTAATTGCACATTCCTTATAAATAATACATCACCTGTTCTTTCTTTTGCAGATATTGTCAAATAACAATAAATTAGCAGTTACAATGGAAATGAAAAACAATCTATGCTGAAGCTTCAGCTATAATGTTGTACAATAATAAGCTTTTCCTTTTAAATAAAATTTCTAAAAGTATACCGGTTTTCCAGTGCATCTGACTTTATTTTTGGTCTGTTGTTGAAACAAAAGGCGAACATAGGATACCTTTGGAGTTATGCCAATGGATCAGAAATAAACACTTCTGTGTGTATTTAGGCGAAAGCTCGACAATTACGCGGATATTTAGGTGAAAATTCGGCGGATGTTTAGGCGTAAAGTAGGCGATTCTGCGGATATTTAGGCGAAAATTAGGTTATTTATCGACAAAGGGGGGAAATCCGCATTATTTCCCCCGGACAGGCGAAAAAAGGGCGACATTCTGGCGCGTTTTCCCCTTTCGCTACCAAAGCATTTACCCCTTTATTTCTACTTTGTTCGCCTTTATTCCCCTTTTCTGGTTGTTTGGGAGAGGTTATAAGCCTAAGAACTTTCGATGATAGCTTATTCAAACAACTTTTCTTGTCGAAACTTTTGGAAAAGACAGTTGTACCTTTCCAGGTAGCTGTCGAATCGTGAATGTAAGGCAACGGGTAACGGTCGGGAATGGTTTTCGCATTTAATCGCCGATAGTGACCAGTTGAACGCCAATCGTTGCTGTCCTTTTTAGGGAACATGTGCAACGGAGATGCATGTGGGCTGCTTGACGGTCGTATGATTCCCAGGTCTATCATGTGGTCGAACTCGTTTTTCGCCAACCTTAGCTTTTTAGGGGCTAGTCGTCATGCTTTAGAGAATACAGGTGGTCCTGTAGTCGTGATGTGATGTGTAACGTTGCTGGTTACACACAGTAGTTTCGGTTGCGTTCGCTGAATTCCAGGATACTTATCGAGTAGCGGTTGATAAAGTGGGTCTATCGTATGCTTAATTGTGACTGGGGATAATCCTCAACCAGAAAAAGATGTTACGCGAACGGACAAATGAGTGTTTCCGTCTACTAGCCTCCGTTTGCGAGTATCGATGATTAGATTATGGTGTTGTAGAAGGTCCATACCAATGATTGGCATAGAAACATCTGCAACAACGAAGATCCAGTGAATGGGTTTGCGTAAACCCACGTTAGGGTAAACGTACCTTTTGCCATACGTAGCTATCGCTTTCCCGTTTGCCGCCTGTAAGTTTAAAGCCGATTCGTGAAGTCGGTCGTTGGAGTTCGCTAACTTCTGCGCCAGTGTCGACGAGGTAGCGGACTCTCGTTGTCACATCTGTGACGTATAACAGACAGCTATGTTCGCCTGCTACGGTTGCCGTTAACGCGTGCCGGCTTGAAAGTTTCCCGAGTTGGTCGGTTTTGAGTTGTGAAAATTGCAGAGTTTTCTGCAATTTCTGGAAGACTTTCCATACTGGTTATGATTCCAGCACCAGTCAGGGTTATCCGCCTCTCGTGGTCTAGAGACAGATCGCTTACGTGAAGTGCTTCTACGTGGAGTGTGTGATCGCTTACGGTCGTTACGAAAATTAAGATAACGCGTAAGTGTATGACATAACTCGTTTATGTCGTTTGAGGCTTTTCTTTGACTGAAAAATCCTCGGTAGTAGAAGATTTCGTAATTTCTAAGATACGATCGTCAGATGCAGCCAGCTCGTCTAAGGCGTTGTTCTGAAACGAGACCAGAACCGCTTGCAACTGTTTGGGAAGTTTAGACAAGAAGAGTTGTTTGAATAGGCCATCATCGAAAGTTCTTAGGCCTCTCTCATCCTTTGCAACATGTCCGTGGCAGAACTGTGTTATATATATATATATATATATAACAGACGAGGTAATTGACAGATCACATGGGAAAGTTATGGTAAACTGTTCGTGTATCTGCCACTCTATTAGCATTTTGAATACGCATGAACTGTAGACGATTAATAATAGATTTCGGCTTGACTTTTGTGTTTTCCCTTTATATGACTGAGTTGATCAAGCGTTAAAAGAATGTGTGTTAGCGAATCTAGATGACTTAGATAGTAGTTACTAAGTAGGTAGATAACGTGAAATATATTTCTTAGAAATAATGAGAAAAAAGCCGTCATTACTATTAAAGAAATTTAAACCCTTTAACAACGATTCGGAGAAACGTACACTTAAGTCAAATACATCTGAGTAGACTTGTTCTGAATTTTAGCATGAAGGATGTTTGGATTACCATTGTTATCTATGAGAAAACACAACTTTACAAATTTTAATGCAAAATCAAGCTGTTTGAAATGAGTTATTTTACAAGTGCATGATAGAATTTGAAATTAATTAAACTCCCTAAGAGATTATTTTAACAGTATTGTTTTTCCTAAGTACAATTTTCTTGTGTTTGGGCTGTAATACTGCCCGAGTGCCCAGACCGAAGCAGTCTTCGACCCTGAAGGTCTGATTCATAGTGCAGTCACACGGTAGTCGGTGATCGACAAGGGGTTCTGTCAGCGACATGGATTGGATCGAAGCACTCTCCATGCACGACTACTTTGGCGCACGATGATTGGCTAACACTCTAGAATCTTCTCATGTGAAAACTATAAATATACTTATGTTTTTCCTGTTGTGCTTCTTCCATCTAACCATGTTATCTGGAATATAATCTCTTTCCTGTTCAACCGTGTTCTGATTTGGGGACTTGTCGAGTGAATTGGTGTCCGAGAATACTAAACAATAGGAATAGCTGGGGTGTAATAAGAGAAAATTATAACAGACTCATATGCTATTTGTCCCCTCAGGATCCAGCCCATGTGTATCATTGGTTTGGAATCAGGTTTTCCCAACTCCTCTAAGTGGGTCCTCCGTGTCCACCAACCCGGCGAAAGCGTCAGACATTCGCTTTTCGTTCTCTCAATTTTGTAAACAATGGTAATACCACGAGAAGGCAATCAATAGGACTTCTCTGATAGTCACTGTATACGCGTGGCCATATGAGAGCATTTCGAAAGGGATAGTTATCTCCGTCGACCGTACCAAGGCATTTGGGGGCTTGAATGTTCCGGTGGAAGATTGTTTAGATGTAGAGTAGATTTACACTGTGTGCACTTTCGTTGGCTTGGCTTTCCACTAATGAATAAATATTCGTCTGACTAATATCGATTACTTATGTTATGGTAGTTCATACTGACTATTTGAATGGAGTAATAGAGGTTGTCGCTGTGGATTATGATAATTATAAAATTTGACGGATGTATTTATCACTACCTACTAAAAGTTGTAAAATAGTTTATGAATGGTACGTGAAAATGAATTTTGCATTTTCTGGCATTTCTTCACTAATTTATATTTCCTTGAATCGTATATTTAACAACTAACCTTGTCTATTATTACTGATACTGTTAGTGTTTATACTACTTTGTCCTAACAACATCTCGTTATGTTAGTGGGGTGGTATAGTGACTTGAAAAGAAATAAATCTGAGAATAGAATTCTAACCAACACTTAAAGTTGATGAATCATACTCCATTTTAAATGAACATACCAATTTAATTATGATCACCCAATATCCCACCATGCTAAAACATGAAAATTAAGATATAATTGTTCTTATTTACATATTATCACAATGAAATTATTCATTTACCTAAACATCATATGTCACAGATTAATGTACAAAGAATGATAACACTTATGGTGTTAAATACACTAAAGAAAAATCTAGCAATCCATTATAATTGGTTCACCAAGTTTAACTCGTTGACCAGGCTTTACACACCATTTCAATTTATTTGTAGGTGCTTCAAAAACCAGAACAACTGTAGATCCTAGACGAAAACAGCCTAATTCATCACCTTTCTTTAGTTTGATTTCACCATTAAATATTGCTTCTAAGTATGGTGGTTTATATTCTTGATTAATCATTATTGATGTAGTTGAAGAACGAAAACGTAATGCATTATCTTCTTTCTTATTTGTAATCAATGTTGGATCGATATTTACATGTATGTTACCAACACCGAATGCGCCAACTGCTGCGAATGACATTAATCCATGATCCCATTCTCCTAAATAAACTACACGTTCGTTGATAGTATATAGACCTGGTAGACGTCCAGCAATATTCGGACGTACTGAAAGTAATCTGCCTTGTAATGAAAAACAGAATTGTAGAAGAATAAATAGAACAACGTACTTTATAAAATGATAATAAAGTTATATAGAGTAAACAACGGAGAACTGAAATATCTATCATAAATTTACGGTTTAAACAACTTCGGGGCAATCTCTTTTAAACTTTATTTTCATAATCCACTCAAAACCTCGGTTGGAAGAATGTCCGGACAGTGTAAGAGACTGGGAGGATCATTCAAATAGCTGCGGAAACGAGGAGATACAACTTGGTGGTGCTCACAATCAGTGAAACCCATTGGATGCAAGCTGGATAGATAAGGAAGAGATGATGCTCTACTCAAGTCACGAAGACTAAAATGCTCCACACACTCAGGGGTTGCTCTGATGCTGTCCAAAGAAGCACGAAAAGCACTAATAGGGTGGAAACCTCATAGATACAGAACTATCAAAGCATCCTTCAAAACAAAGAAGAAGGTAATCACATTTAATTTCATGCATCCACCAATGATAGCAATGAAGGCAATAAAGATTAGTTTTACCATACGCTGCAATCGATAAAAGCGAAGTACCCAGGAAAGGACCTGACAAACCTGAACGCCAAAGTCGGAATGGACAACTTCGGATATAGAGATATTATGAGACGACATGGACTGGGGGAAAGGAACGAGAATGGTGACAGATTTGCGAATTTATGTACATTCAACAAATCGAATATAGGTGGCACAATATTCCCACACAAACGCATACACGAAGCCACATAGGTCTCAGCGGATCACACCACGGAGAACCAGATAGATCATATTTGCATCAGTAAAATATTCAAAAGGACAATAGAAGATGTGAGAACCAGGAGAGGAGCTGATATACCTTCAGATTACCAACTACCTGGTGGTTGCCAAGATGAAACTGTAACTGAAGAAGCAATGGACAACTGGAGAAACCGCATTACAAAGGTTCAATACAGCGTTCCTTCGAGATACTAACAAACTTAACGAATTCAAGATAGCTCTCAACAACAGATTCCAAGCATTACAAAATCTACTGAAGGAAGAAGAAACTACTATGGAGGACAACTGGGAAGGTATCAAAGAACCATTAACTTCAACGTGTCAAGAGGTTCTGGGCCTCAAGAAGCATCATCATAAGGAATGGATCTCTATAGAAACACTGGACAGGATCAAAGAAAAAGAGAACAAGACAGCAATTGACATCAGCCAAACACGAGCAGAGAAAGTTCAAGGACAAGCTGAGTTTATAGACGCAAACAAGCAAGTGAAGAAGAGCATTGAAGCTGACAAGCAGAAACACATAAAAGAGCTAGCAACGACAGAGGAAGCGGCAAGAGAAGGGAATGTGAAACAACGAAGAAACTGAAGGAAAAATATGGTAAGCCAGAGAGACTGGTCAATGACAAAGAAGGCAAGACAATCACTGAGACTCCAGAACCGAGAAACATAGGTATACTACTTCAAGGAACTCCTGAATAGGCCAGCTTTACTGAACCCACCGGACATCGAAGCATCACCTACAGACCTCTCCATAGATGTCACTCCACCAACGATCGAAGAAATCAGGATGGCCATCAGACAGAGTTGGAAAGCAGAAAGACCCGACAATATACCAGATGAAGCACTCAAGTCACACATAGAAGTAACTACAAACATGTTCGATGTTCTATGCATGAAGATTTGGGAGGAAGAACAAGTGCTGACAGGCTAGAAAGATGGATATTTTATCAACATACCGAAGAAAAGAGATCTGAACAAATGTGAAAACTGCAGAGGCATCATATTACTATCGGTACCAGGAAACTTTTTTAACGGTGTTGTTGAACCGGATGAGTAATTCAGTAGACACCCAACTCCGAGGTCAACAGGTCGGGTTCCGTAAGGATCGGTCGTGCACTGACCAAATCGTGACAAAACGGATCATTGTTGAACAATTAATTGAATGGGACTTGTTATTATAGATTAACTTCCCTGACTATTACAAAGTATTTGATAGTGTGGATAGGAGAGCATTACGGAACCATTTTCTACACTATGGCGTAACTCAGAAAATTGTCAACATCGTGAATTCATACGACGGACTACAGTGTAAAGTAGTGTATGGAGAAAGGCTGACAGGCGCATTTCAAGTAAGGACTGGAGTCAGACAAGACTGCCTACTCTCAACCTTTTTCTTTCTTCTAGTGGTTGAGAAGTAGCACAAAATACAATGGACAGCCTACATGCAAGTAGATTTGGAATTCGCAAATGACCTGGCCCTTCTATACCATACACACGAGCAAATGAAGGTGAAGAAAACCAATGTAGCAAAAGCCTCTGCACCAGTAGGCCTCAATATATATAAGGGAAGAACCAAGATCTTTAAATACAACACGGAGAACACCAACCCGATCACAATCGATGGAGAAGCTGTGGAACAGGTGGAAACTTCCACGTACCTGAGAAGCATCATCGATGAACGAGTGATCCGATGAACATGTAAAGGTAAGAGCCGCATTTTTAGTTGTAAGTTCGAACCACGCTATACATTATTATTAGTTTTCATGAAAAAACATGTACCTCAAATTTGAGTACATAAATCTGTACTGGACGTGTGAACTAGATAACAATTTGTGTTTACATTACACATAAAAACATTTATGAATGAGTGTTAGTTAGGAACGGGACGGATATGCACTAAAGACATGTTGTTCTTAACTTACACATATTTCTCGGTAAAACTTCATCCCAAAGAAAGGCTACTTTTTAAAGTATACCTAGACCTTAAGATCTCATCGTCACATTAATTTAGCAGATATAAACAAATGAAAATATACTTTATTTCTTTCTTAGTTCATATCATACCCTTCACTTAATAAACGGAGAATAACTAAGAAGGCACCTTCCTTGGGGAGATGAATTAACTAAAATTAATATGCGTAACATACCTGGAAAATGCCGTCTTACTGTAGGACTCCATTCAACAGGACTATGAAATCGATGGTAATCTCCTGGAGCTAAATAAATAACACATTGATAAAGGGTACAGTCAGATTTCTTTCCATTTAAACTTTCTATGCTTCCCACTGGACCAAGAAATTCATTTAATGAATAGCGAACTCCTTTAATTTGTTCTAAAACAGCATTTTTTGAATTAATCGGACCACAATGGAGTACTTCACCATCAACGGGACTAACCTACATCAAACAAAGAAAAACTTGAGTTTTCTGTATTCTTTAAAACATTCTTAAACCAATGTTGATTCACCGTACACTTGCATATTCTGCAATTATTGCAAAAAAAAGTAAATTATTTTGATAACCACAAAAAAGTAATCAATACCATTTTATCTATTCCTCACCAATGATGAACTTTTGCCAACTAAGTTTTAGATGTGACTACGATTATTAAAGGGAATGGATAGGATATCTTTCAGAAATCGAACTATCGTTTAAATTAAAGGTGTTGTTAAAGAGCTACTTAGGTAGCAGCAAATAACCCATGTCATAACTTCCAAAACAGCAAAACTTTTGTTGACCTGATAGGTCATTGTAATTTACTAATTATATGTAACCATAAAATATACAGTACGACTGTAATTTTCTACAGTGAAGTAAACTGAGTTAATGAGGATTTGAATTGCATATATATTACCAGTCGTGAATGTTTACACATAATTATTTGAAAAATAGGTAACTATTGATATACTGATTAAGGATATGAAAAAAGACCAAAAATGCATATGATAACGCTGTTTATTTATTATTTATTCAAACACATAAATATTGGTACAAAGAGGCATCGAATACATATGCACCACACAAGTCACTTGATTTGTGTGTGGGCTGTGATACTGCACGGGTGCCCAGGCTGAAACAGATGGTTTTCTTAGGGGGCCACACCCAGAGCTTTTTACTTAAAAGTCTGATCCATAAGGCAGTGGAGCAACGTCAGGAGATGCAGTCACATGATGGCCGGTCACCAATAATTGGTTCATGCGCCATTTGTTCCATAAGGATCTTCGAGCCCATATGCACCATTGGTTTGGAATCAGAGTTTTCCAACTCCAACAGGTAGATCCTCCATATGCACCAACCCGGTTACAGCATTGGATATACGCTTTTCGTTATCTCAATTTCGTAAATAACAGTAACACAGCGAGGAGGCAGTGAGTAGGACTTTCCTGGCAGTGACGGTATACGCGTGGTTATGTGGGACCATTTCGAAAAGAATAGCTCATTCCCCCCACCCTCTGCCGCATCAGGGCATTTGGGGGCGTCATTACGTTGAACTTATGAATTCTCAAACTATTAGTTTGACTACGAATATATAGTCTATCTGACAGGATTAGAAGTCAAGGTTTTATAGGCTGTGGCATAAATCAAAATCAGTTACAGTAGCACGGACGATTCTAATGTTACTCTACTTTAAAATTCTAAGTCTTACTGCTTTATATTCTTTTGTTCTTGTCTTTCACATAGATCAATCTACGCTAATTGAAAATAAGGAGAGCTTAATCTCATTTAGCGTGCACGCGCATTGGTCGTATCTAGGACTTCCGTCAAATACGTTGTAGGACAAAATTGCCTCATCCAGTTGATATGTGATTGAGCGGTACCCAGTAGTTTTTACATTATTTTAAAACCGAACACTACGAAACAAGAATTGTACGTGAACGACAGACTACCTGATATAACGACAATTAAAATAATATCTGTTTATCAAGATATTGACCAAATTTGAAGGATAATTAAGGTGGTTTTATTGACTATGATGCCGAAACAGCCGACCGTTGAACGAACCTGTGAATTTCAAAATGTAATTACTTAACACGAAACTAATCGAAGACAGACGCAACAAATAGGACGGTTTTTTAAGTGCTCATATAAAGCCACGATATACCCCACAAAGCTGAACATACTTTACAGACACACGATGAGATACAAGTATGGAATATTATCAGTAAGTGAATTATTTACTTAGTCAATAACACTATCCACATATTTCTGTCAGTCTGGAGACCCAGAAACACGAATAAGCTATAAACACGGCCCTTTAACTTTTGCCAATGAATATTTCCATGGTCTTGAATTTCTTGTTTTACAAAGCCATTTGGTCAGCAGTTTAAAGTGACTGAATCGAACAAAAGAGCAGGACATTATATATATATATATATATATATATATATATATATATATATAACTATGAACAACCAGTGTATGAAATCGATCACTTACCAATGATGCTGAATAATTAATAGGTCGTTTGTTGGTAGCAATCTTTCGAACAAAAAAATCTGATAGACACGTATAGCTTTTTAAGTCAGGGTTTTCAACTTCGCTTAGATCACAATGGAACAGATGTGAGTAGGAATGGTAGATTATAGGTCTTAAGAACACTGGGATATGACATTCAGCCAACCGACCCCAAAATTTAGACAGACTGTTCAGTGGGACGTGTCGAAAAAGTGAAGCCTACAAATAAGATATAGACAAAAATAATGAGAGCCGGATATGTTATATACCCTAATAAAAAAACAATTACTGATTACAGCTAAAGAGTAGGAGAATTTAGATGTGACTTAAATGGCTCATAATGGCACCTGTAATTCAGATACAAGATTCTGGACAAATATTATACTAGCCTTATTTGTCGCACATACAAGACTTGAAAAACCTTTATGCTCCTTTAATGATTTAGGTCACGGGTCAACAGAACATTAAACTCTATTGTATAAACTTAATAGTTATTTAATACTTCAGTAAGAAACTAACCAGAAAGCAAACGAAATAGGCAAAATCACGAACAAGTTAGTGTAAAGCGTGAGCTTGCAAGTTTGTCATCATAATCAATCAAGACAACACTACGGCTTATAAATTTCCATTTTGAACAGATCGTTAAACGTAATTTTCAGCTGAAGATCGTACAAGCAGAAATCTGAAGATCACGGACTAAATAATAAAAATTATTAAGATGGCAAAACCGTTTTAGGAAATGCTGATCAAACTTAAAATATTACGCTTGTCATATGATCTGATCGCGGTCCCCAAATCATCTAATAATTATTTACATCTAACAAGTTCTCAGTTTTACTACTTTACAAAACAGATAATCTGAACCAGCAATCCAAAGAAGTTCGAACACTCAAAACCAACTACTTGCCAGCTGACTAACGACTTTCAGAATCTACTGTTTAGAACAAGTTTACGCTTTTAGGTAGAAAATGGCAGTTTGAACTGAGATCTAGACGTGTATCAACAAAAAGCAGAAATTGCAAATATTAGTTATATGGTTAATATATTTTCCATAAGAATGCACTTACAGTTATATGACGAGGATAGTATTCTGGTGTGTCTTCACTATCCGTAAGCAATAAAAACCCAACATATCCACACAGTATACTGCATGTTCCTAGGGCTAGCTTCGATCTTAATACCTTTAATCTATTAGAAGAAACTAAAATGTCTTATACGCAGTAGGACAAAGATTACCTGACTGCTTGGTCCCACTGCCGTATTTTCGCAGAAGTAGAGGAAAACTGAATCTATACATGCGACGAAGATCTAAACAATAAAGCATGATTTAAGTTTGACTTAAAAATATTCACACAAATAAAACATGAAGGACGAGTATGAAAAGTGCGCTAGTTACAAAATGCAAATAGAAAATGTAGTGAGACTTAAAAAACTAAAAAAAGCAACAGGCATGTCCGTCACAAGTTCTGCGACGTCCGAATGATGCGAGTCTGAACAGGATATTTCATCATGTTAAACAAAAGTAAATATAATAGGAAACATCTAAGACTGCACCACAACTGGTCGACACCAATCACAGATATTATTTACATACCAGTGGCAGAGTGAAAAGTCAAATCCACTCAAAATCGCCCGCCATCTCTTTCAAGCGACCTTGAAAGGCCTGATTAAAATGGTTCAAATGGTTGTGGACGGAATAGAAGAAGCTTTCGCTTAACAGGCTTCCGTGTCTAGTAGCAGGGGATCACCAAATCCTCCAGGCAGGATCCTAGGTATGTTAACAATAAAAGAGGAAAAGAAATTGGTAAATCATAGTGTGATGCTGTTCTTGGTCCTTAAGAATAGGTCAAGTTGCCTCTTGAAGGACTCTTGAGAAGTCGCTTGGACTAGCTCGGCCGGCAGCGAATTCCAGCTTTCGACAACTCTTAAGGAGTAGAAGTTGTGTCTACATTCCGTTTTGCTATGTTGTGTCTCCAGTTTCTGGGTGTTACCCCTTAGGTTATTATTCGAACTAAGCTTAAGTAGGTGTTTAAGAGGATGTCCAGAAGTGTTAAGAATACTATAAGCCATTAATAAATCACCTCTAAGACGCCTATATTCTAGTGGGTAAAGGTCTAGTGAATGGAGGCGCTCTTCGTAAGGTTTAAATTTGAGTCCTCGAACTACTTTCGTGGCTCGCCGTTGGATACGCTCCAAAGTGAGGGGGGAGTACGATGTTTCCGTACTCTAAATGGGGACGGATGAAACTATTGAAGATTGTGCGGAAAGTTCTTCCGTCAAAATATCCAAAAATGCGCTTCAACGTTACCAGTGCAAGGTTTGCTCGGAAGGCACTTTTGTCACAGTTAGTGTAAGACTTTAAATCATGGGGCACCAGGACACCTAAATCTTTTTCGACTTGGGATACTACTAGAGAGGAGTTTCCTAAGTTGTAACTGTAGTTTGCAACATGTCACAGATGGACTACTTTACACTTTGAAGTGTTAAAGGTAAGTCCGTTATCGTCTGCCCAACTTTGAAGTCGAGTCAGATCATCCTGAAGTGCCTGTATATAGTATTGGTTGCGTGTCTCTCTCTCCAAAGCTTCACGTCGTCGGCAAAAGGTAATAAGTTTGACGTAACCTGTTTAGGAATATCATTTATGTAGATCAAGAAGAGAAGAGGCCCTAGTACTGAACCCCGGGGGACCCCACTAGGACATTTCATAGCCAGAGATAAAGTGAAATTAACCCTAACCTTAAAATGTCGATTTTTCAGGTGTGAAGTAAGCCAATCGATTAGAGGTGGTTTGATACCTAGTCGTTTGAGCTTATTGATAAGACACAAGTGGTTAACCTTATCAAAAGCTTTTGAGAAATCAAGGTAAATGATATCAACCTTCTCCTTGCGATCGAGGATGCTTGTCCATCTGTCCACCGCAGTCAGCAGGTTGGTTATACAAGAGTAACCCTTCCTGAAACCATGCTGTTGGGGTGAGAAGAAATTTAAGGACAGTAGATAGTCGTTTAAACCGTCGCATATCAGGGACTCCATGAGTTTTGAAGGTAATGACAGAAGAGCCACCGGCCGATAACCTAAAGGTTCATTGTGTCGACCTCCCTTGAAAATTGGTGTGATGTGAGCCAACTTCCAATTTTCCGGTAACTTGCCTCGGCTTAGCGAGTGTGAAAACATCACGCTAAGCGGCGTTGCCAGGATTGAGGCTGCCTCCCTCAGTATGGCAGGATGAACCATATCCGGGCCAGGAGAAGTATCTAGTTTTAAGTGCTGCAATTTCCGGCACACCAAGTCAGCGCTTAGGTCTACTTCGGAAAGTCCTGTGGAATTGCAGATGAAACTGTCGTCAATAAAGTTGATGTCAGCCGGTTGAAATGTTTGAGAATAATGTGCCGCCAGAAGGTCAGCGGCGTCGTCATCGTTGTTGGTCTGGCCGTTAAGACCTACCAGTTGGGAAACTCCTGTTTTGGCTTGACGAAGAGAGGCTGGATAACGGAATAGGTTTCTAGGGTTAGAGGCAACTTTGTCCATAAGCTTTGTTTGGTACTGAAGCCTGTCTTCTCTTATAGCCTTCGTGCATATGTTCCTTATATGTTTATATTAACTATACGCTCCGTCGTTGTCAGTTCGTTTGCATTCCGCCCAACAGTGCCTTTTGCGGCTCAGCAGGCGAAGGGTACGCTTCTCGATTACTGTAGGTGGCTTGCAGCTTTTGGGAACTGCTTGAGGAACTGAATGATTTGTAGCACATAAGAGCGTGTGCAGTAAGATGTTCCAATGACCGCCCACGTCGAGTTGAGGGTGAACATCCCAAACCACCTGTTGTAGATAGTCATGTAGAGCTGGCACATTCAGCCGTTTAAAATTCCAACGCAAATTATTGGTGGGATACCTTAGCTTAGTTTTGATGACAAAACTGAAGGCTATGACGGCATGATCGCTCTTTCCTAGAGGAGCCAGGATTGAGAGGTTGTCAACTAGGAATTCTTCGTTTGTGGATACACAGTCTAAGCGCGATGGTGCCTGACTGTTTCTCCAACGAGTTGCCGACCTCACATTTTCATATAAGCCCAAGTTATCGATGAGGTTGAAGAACCGAGCTTCAGTTGAGTTGTCGCCTCCAGTGTACGTGTGTTCCGCGAAGTTGACTCTAGGGAGATTAAAGTCCCCTAGAATCAGGATGTGTGTGGAACCAAGACGGGTAGAGCGGGCTAGTCCTTCCAGCATACGACTATCGTACTCGGTGTCGGCAGTTGGCTTCTTGTAAATGACTCCGACTAGACCTCGAAGTACTAGACAATCTTACAGAGTACCATATGGATTCCTCAAGATTGTTAAACTCGAGGTTGTGAACTTGGTGCACCTCCAAGCAAGAGCTTATATATATGGCTACTCCGCCCCCAATTCCTGTTTTTCTGTCGTTGCGGAACAATGTCATCCCAGGTAATGCTAACTCTTGGTCCGAGAACTGAGAAGATATCCAGATTTCATATCATGTCCAATAACTCCAGTAAAAGAGAAATTTCACCAACTTCTAAGCCAAATAAAAGGTCCAAATCTGTAACCCCTACAACTGACGACTCAGTGCTTGACAATGTCGAACCTTTAAGTACTGAAAAATATGTGTATTGTACACAAATGTCTCTATCATCACCAGATTCTCCATGTCGCAGCCCCTCTATCTCTACGTGCATTATGCCAACGGTAAGACTGGTTGACATACAAGACACTATACCTACGAGCATAGAAAAGTCAGCACAGTCTACTAGACAGTATGTGCTACCAAGGCCTAAATCTAAAATTTCAAAAACTAAAGAGTCCAGTGGTCCACCTCATACACACCAAAATACTGATAGATACAGTAATGACATCCGACAGCTACAAAACTCTCTATCCGAAATTAACGGCAAAGTTGAGCAATTAGCACCCCTCACTCATATATGGGGCCTTGACACAGACAGAAATCTTGAGCAACTCACTAAAGCTGAGTGTATTTTGGAGTCTGTGGCTGAAGAAGTCACGAAGAGAGTGATATCCTCCTACAATGCAGTTGTGTATAACCTCCCCGACCGCACACACCCATCCAAGTTAAAGGATATTTGCCTTAGAGCATGCGGTATGCCGAACGTTAACTGCAAAGTCATCCGTCATAGAAAAAAGTTAGACAGATTGACTTGCCCCCTCTTGTTTACGTTTGGCTGTTGTAACGATACTAAGCAGTTTATTAATTTGAACAAAAATATTAGCTCACTAATTCCATACAAGAATATAAAAGTCACTCCAGACCTTACGCCCTGTCAACGTCGTGTAAGAAGACGCGAAGTGATAGAATTGAATGGGAGTGTTACAGTTAATAATCAGCCAGAGACAGTTTGCAACACAGCAAATAGTTTAAAACACACGAACAATAAGCATGACACCACTCCACATACGGCTGATCACTCTGTTGATCTAGATGAGACTACAGATCAGAAATCTTTGGATAAGATACGGACCCCAACTGACACCAAAAACCATAACGACATGACTAATCCCAGCTGTTCTTTCAACAGTGTACTAAAATGTGAGTCGTGTAACAACACACATCCAACTAGACCTATACACTTGAAAATTTGTCATCCTAAAGATATTCCACAAGTAGACTTGAATGAACGTAAGTTCATCTCACAGAGACAACAAAAGACTCCAGCTCTGAAAATAAAGGGTGGGAAGACAAAACTCATGATACCGAATAGGGAAACACGTAAGATTGAACCCAACTTCTCTATAGGTATCCCAAGAACAGTGAACAGGTTCTCCCCGCTGCTATCGTATAACTTGCCTTCAACACCTCCAAGTTGCAAAAAGGGTGGTGGGCTTCAACGTAGCAAGCCTTCTTATACGCAGACTAACGAAAAATACCAGAGAACTGGCCACCCAAATCACCCCCTGAAGCCTAAAACCATAGATAAGAATGGTAGTAATAGGTTTCTCACTCCACACCCTACATACATTCCCCAGGATCGCAACTGTAATTACTCTCAGAAGGAAAACTCACACCCTTTAGTACCGACCCATCACATGAGAACGGCTCCCATGTATAACAACAGTCGCAACTCCTCCCAGTTACGCGTAACAGACTCCTCTCACGCTAACCTAAATAGCCATAACAGGGGCTACGAGTCTAACCATCAAGATTATTTTGTAAATAACCATACACTTCACAGTAGGCCTGTACAAGATTTTTTTGGAATAAGACCCCTAGTGACACCTCTGTTGAAGCATATACCCCAGGTTATTTCAAACCACATGCAAACCATAAATTTGTTTCCTCCGTACAGTTTCCATCAGAGAGTACTCCCACCCTTTCCTCCTGGGTAAACTCCCTAATCAACTTCACCAGCTGATTTGATACATCTAGCTATCAAAATACCGAGCTAATGAAGAAAATCCAATCCCTCACATCAAACCCATCTCACACCCGCGAGGGTTACGACGACTTTATCCGAGATACCCTCACTCATTTTAACTTAGTAGGCCACTTGCTTAATATATGTCTTATCAACGCTCGATCGATCTGCAACAAAAACACGGATTTAGACCTGTTTGTATCCATATATCAACAATCACTTATTATGATATCTGAAGCATGGACTAACAGTAATATTTCCGACCGAA